GACATTTTACTTGCACCCAATTTCCACTTGTCTGTCTGAAGGTGGAGACCAATCTACGAGTTTGGCCAAAGGGCAGTCTAAAGCACATCAGATCTCACTGGTATGATCTGGCATAGCTCTGAATTAATGCATGAGGTAAAAAGAAATAAATGTGTGTCTGCAGGGTTATCAAACAACTGTCATATTTCACCGCAGTCGCGTGACATTTCCTGAGCTGCACTTGGAAAGCTTTTGGGATCCCTTTGAATGGGAGAGTTGTAAAAATAGGCCATTTATTTGAATTGTTGTTTTTCCTGAGGGAGTCATGCATGCAAATTCCAGGGAAGAACGGTTGTTTTGAGATTTAAACTTCTTTTGAAAGTTTTCTTTTTCATTTAAACTGGAATTTTATTTCGTTCCACTTCACTGTAATCCATGAGCTAGGTGACTTGAGCACTGGGAAAAGTGTTGTACATGCTTGTCTCATTCTCATTCTTCCCACATACTGACAGCTGCTGCCAAAGAGGCAGCACTGAGCTATTTGGACCCTGTTCCAAACCACTGCAGCTGCTCTTACCTCACCTCTTCATGCCAGTGGGACCTGCCTTTGCTGGCTCATAAAAAAAGCCTCATAAAATATTACTGTGGTGCTATGGTTTGTGTCACAGCAGAGCACTGTGCAGCCAGGCATTGTGAAACAAGCTTGGTCTGAGGCAGCCCTGCCCATGGCAAACTGTTAACCTTGCAGCCACTGGCACTGGGGAAAAGCTTTTGCCTTCAAGAAGCTGGTGGCAACATTTGGCACTAATGGAGCTTTTTTGATTTATAAGCCCTATAGAATGCCAAAAACAGAATTTCCCAGGTAAATCATCAGTTTGTTGTGTGTGCAGGGCTTGTTAAAAGACATAAATTTCAGTGTTATGCTCCCTCCCAGAGCAACTGTGTTGCATGGAAAATGGTGTGAAGTTTTGTTTTCTGCATGTTTGTTTTTTTGTTCCTGGGAATTAATCCTTTTATCAACAAAAAGTTGTAATAGAGGCCATTTCTCAAGAGGACATATTTCCGCCATTCTCACCAATAACTTTACTGTTAATCAATATTTGAACCTCCAGGGCTACAAAATCTGGTACTGCATCCTAGTATCATCTTCTTTAATGGATGGATTATTTCTATGTCAGCTGTGGATCTAAGTTTTCAAGTGATCATCTGTGACAATTGGTGTTGTTATTCACTCAATGGTCTACAACCCACAGGTGGTCCATAAAGCCTGAGAAGGTGATCTGTATAGCAGTAGGAGTTGAAAGTGAAAATCAAAGCGATCCCAGAGGCATACACAGTCACGCCCAGCAGTTAGCAGCAAGCAGGGGTGTGCTAGCTGCACACAGAACCATCTCATAGGTGCAGATCAATGGATACAGCATTGCCTATTGATTTCTTTCCTCCTAAAGTGTCATTAGCTTTTTGGTTATTAGAGAAGCTTGAGAAAAAGTGCTGTAAGGGATGTATTAGACTTCTGAATAGTTTATTTTTACCAATGTGACTGTTTCAATGTCGGAAGATGTTTTTACATATTTGCATATCAGGTTTGGAGTTAACTGATCTGGAGGCTGAACGTGGGTAATTCTGCCTCTTCTTTGAGGTGTTGAGGGAAACTACTTAGCACAGATGCCTGCAGATAGGCAGCTTGCAAATGGTGGGGTACAGCTGTGTCAGATTTACCTGCCAAAACCATAGCCTCCTTTGATGGCACAGGCAGTCCCTGAAGTGCGCTGGACACTCCGTCTGCCTGGAGGCAGGGACAGCCTCTGTGTCTGCAAATAGAGGTGATGCTCCCACGCCTTTTGCTTGAGTGTGCAGTTTGCACAAGCTTTGCAAAAAAATGTCTTTACAGCTGGTTTGCCCAACCAGAGGGGTGTCAAGACTGCTCTTACCTACAGCTACAGTTGTGAACTGCCTCTAAGGTCTTCCAGTAGTCTCCAGGGGCCACTGATCCCAGCATTCTGTGTGCTGACAAGGACTGCTATTCCTATCTGTCTTAAGCAGGAATTTGTGGCTTTTTAGGTACACAGTGGTATTTTTAAATCACCTACTTCCCATTACTTTGTAACTGCAAGGAGATACATCTGGCGGTAATGAGCTTTTTCAACTTGGTGTTTCTCCCAGAATGTTTTGGGATTTACCAAAAAGTTATTACCTAGTGGGCTTGTCATGCAATGTGCAGTATTGACAGCCTTGTGAATGAGAGGATTATGAGAAAAAAAAAACAACACAGACCCTTGTTTCACAGTGTTGCTGTATTAAAGTGTACTTTTTCTTTTGACTCTTAATTCTCACCTTTACTTGCACTCTAGTCACTGCATTTTAAGCAATCCAGTCCTCACAATAGGAGGACTGGAAACTCTTTACTCCCCCTCTGTTCTTTTTCTTCTTTCTTCTTCTTTCTTTATTATCTTATGAAAGATGAGACTTTTACATAATCACAAGATTCCAAGAACTTGAGCCTCCAGAGCAAACAGAAAACCATACACTCCACTTCATGCATCTTATATATCCATGACTGTCTTACTAAAAATGTGAGCACTGTCACAGCTCTGACTGTGAAGCTTACTCTCTGTTGACAATTTCATTACAAAGAAGAACAATATTTTTCACTTGAAATATAAGGAAAAAAACTCTGAAAGACTCTCTGCTGTCATTTGAATTTGGCTGCTATGTGAAAGCAGTATGAGTAAGCTCAGAACATCTAGAAGTGCTACTCGTGCCACTCCTCAAAACATATCCGATGGACAAAGCTGTTAAACTGCTGTATGTGGTTAAAATTGAATTAAGATCAGCAAGAATCCCCATTAAAAAAATTAATTATATAACTGAGCTTAATTGGTGAGAGATTAGTTAACTGTTACATTATACTTGCAGAAAACAAGTTCTTGTGCATAAAAAGTTCAGAAGTAGAGGTGCAGGATAAGCAAAGCTTTGAGGACAATTGAGATAGCCAAATTTTTTGCTCTTTTTGACCTGATAATCTCCTAATAAAAATAATTTTATGGGTCTGTCATGGATTAACCCCAGCCATTAACTGAGCCCCTCACAGCTGTTTACTCTCCCCCCTTCCCCCCCCTTCTGGTGGGATGGGGGAGAGAACTGGAAGATTAAAAGTGAGAAAGCTTGTGGGTTGAGATAAAGACAGTTAAATAGGTAAAGCAGAAGACACAAACCCACAGGCAAACAGAAGAGGAACACCTTCCTGTGCCTCCCCAACCTTCTCTCTGTTCGAGTTGTGTGAGGACCAGAAAAGGCCTTGACTCTGTAAGCTCTGCTCAGCAATGATTAACACATCTCTGTATTATCAACACTGTTTGCAGCACAAATCCAAAGTATAGTCCCATGCAAGCTACCATGAAGAAAATTCAGCCAAAACCAGCACAAGATCACATGTTTTGAAGGGTTGCCCTTCACTGACATATCTGGGATTGTGAGAGATCATTTCAGTAAAATTGTTCTTCTTCAGAGGCAAGCAATAACAGCAATGAAATGCAAAGAATGTTTTAGGAAGTGAGATGTATACAGTCTTTTGCATATATTCATGACTGGGTGGAAAATAAGGCTTCTTGTATGTATAAGAGAATTTTCCCAGATTACAGGTTTTAAGCTGAAATGAAATAAATATGGTATGGTTTTGAAGGATTGTGCCTTAGAAATGTTCCAGGATATTTTTTTATCGAATATATATATATATGATAATGTTCTAATAAAACAATTGAATGCTGGTTTTATTAAAAAAGGAATACGCTGAATTTGAAGTTTTACACCATCTGTAATACACATTTGGAAAAAGGTTAGAATGCTTTCATTTGAGTAAATATTTAAACAGTTGGGAATTAGTCCTTTTATTTCTGAGTGGAGATGAAACCCCTAAGGTCTTTAACTCATCCTTCAGCCATCAGAAATGAATTGTAGGTCTTCTTTAATGGGTTTATTCCAATTTTTGGTCACAGTTGCATTATGTAAGTGAATGGTGCCAGTTTTTGAACTGCAGAAACATTTAAAACTGGTACAACTTTTTGTGATGAAATTTTATACTTACAAAGCAAAGGACCTCTTTTACAAATATAGCTCTCCTGTGAGATTATTTTTTTTGTAAATTCTGTCTTTGTTTTTCATGTTTTGCAAAATTTCAGTCCTAACTGAGTTACTCAAATGTTCTGAAGGTTGCAGGAAGTCTATTATATTCCTGGGCCAATATTAGAGAGTAAGGGTGTAAAGGTGAACTGAAAATTATTCAGGCAGGAATACAGCTTGGATGTTTGTCTTAAGGCTTGTCTTTGCAATCCCTTGGTTATTCTTCATCCATGAGAGAATTTACTCTTGTTAAGTGATAATTCTAAATAGGGTCATTAATTTTGACTTGCAGTTGCAGGCAACTAATCAAATAGGTAAGTAAAAAAGTTGAATGACTATTGTTGGAAGCTTTAACTCTCTCAGGTACAAACACAGTCAAATGTACTGACTCAGGCTTTCATTTCTTCCTGTGTCTTGCTTGAGTTTTCTGTTGAATATCTATATATACACAGTTCTGTTCATCTTCCCAGGCTGTGGACAACCTCAGTGGCTTGTGACCATCATTTGCTATCCACGAAGGCACCAAAGGCTAAATCTGGCCTTGTCCTTCACTGTGCTGAGGGGACTCTGGGTATTTATAATGGAGTATTATAATGTACAGGGATATCCTGGGCTGGAATAAATCGTGCAGCACCTTCTGTAGCATCCCCATCTACAGCCTGCTTTTGTAACTCCCTGTATACATCCCCCTACTGTGCTGAGGTGCTCTGCATGCTGCTGTCTCCCTCCCTCCATAAGAGATGCAGCAATTAGAAGAAAACTTGACAATCAATTTAAATAATTTTGAGTAATTAGTGAGACTGAGAGGTGAGAAGAGGGGTGGCAGCTCACAGGCTTCAATTCAGAGTGCTGCATTCACTTCTCATTGCTAAATGTCTCACCAAGGCTCTCTGTCCTTCCAGGTTTTCACAGGGAACAGCAACGCTGACAGTGTGGTTCACCACAAGCTGCTGCACTCCATGAAAGCTCGCTTCCTGCGCTTCGTCCCTCTGAAGTGGAATGTTGGTGGGCAGATAGGGCTGAGAGTTGAGGCATTCGGCTGCTCCTATAGTAAGTGGCTACATCTTAACCCACATTTTCTCAAAGAGCTTTTTGTTGATGCTGGTAGTGCTGTTGAAAGAGTGCAGTACAATTTTTATGAGTTAGAATGTAATGTGAAATGCATTTGACATCATTAATTTTTTCAGTAGTTGTTCTTGCCTTTCTGCTCCGGGATGTGCAGGCCCATCAAGCTCAGCTGCTGAAGCTTTCTCAGAGCTGAGCCCACCACAGAGCAATTTGCTGCTTCTTGCAAGTGCAAGGCAGTCAGATGCTGCAAAACCTCCCACCCCACTGGAGGACACAAAGCTAATTGGGATCTTTGTAGGGCTATATTTGTTTAAACTATTCAGTTTTGTTTTTAAGGCACGTTAACTAGTTGTTGAGGGAAGTGCTGTGGATTGTGAAGCTAATACTTGTATTTGAGGCTGATGATTTCATAGCTCCAGAGTGCAGAGAAATCTGCTGCTGCTCTAACTGCCTTTGCATGAGTACTTTCTTTGGCCACCATGTGATGATGATCCTTTAAGACATGGTCTGTAGTGCTTTGTCACATGGGCTCTGGAGCAGCCTATAAATGTGTCTGCCGTGGGGCATTTTGGCAACATGTCTTGGTATAGTGCTTCAGATGTATGACCTGTCACCATGGAATAGTGTGAATGTAAAGAAAAAGAAAGCAAAACAGAAGTTCACACATGAGGAAACACAAGTCCAGTTGGTATTTATTTCTCAGGTGACTCTAGTTTTATTTGTGAAATGGTCAAATGTGACTTGAGACACTGCTAGAGACAGGTGAGATATTGCTGGGGGAGAGTTCAGAGAATTAACAGCGTTTTACCAGTAATTTCACTGTGGTGTGGCACAAGTCACCATCATTTGACACTATTGTACTGGTGCCCCTCCTCATTTAGCTTAGTCCTTATCTGTTCTTGCCAGGTGCAGAGAGAGGTTGTGAGAGAATAAGCATAAACATATTTGGGAGACAAATTCATCTGAGCAGAATCAAAGAGAAAAGTTTGTTAAACTTTTTGATTCACGATACCACCTAAGGAGTCCCTCTGCTGTGCCTTTTGCAACCAGACCTGTCTATCTCATATTGGCATTTTTAGCCACCAGCGCACTTGTAGCAAATGTGGGTAAAGCCCTTCCCAAGCCTTTGTTCGCAAAGCCTAGCCATGAATGAATGAACATGATCCCACTGAACAGAGACACAGCTCCAGGACTCTTAGTGGCCTCATCACTGCACTCAGATCTTAGGACTGATTCACAGGGTTTCACAGGAAGATCCTTGTTATGGTCTGTGTGTAGGTCTGTAAGATCCATTCGGCCTCTTTTAAATGCTGCTTCTCCACTTACTTTGATGCTCAGGCACTGGAGGCTATCATTTAAGTACAGACCTGGTCTAGATGCTTTGTCATTAGGGCAAGAGACTTTTTCCAGGTGAACCAGTGAATATGTGAACTGAAACCTATAATTCAAAATCAACTGCCCTTGATGACAATTTCAAAGCTGCCATCTAATCTCTTTTCAAGAGCTTTCTTCTGTTAATGATACCCAAATCTCTGCAGTTAAGAGTATAGCCCAAACAGACCAGGAACAAATAGAACTTGAACTGCAAGTTGAAACTTTTGTGGCTGAATTCGTTCTGGTGTTAGTCCATGTGATATACTACAGGAGCACTACTTTCATGTCGCATCAGTTGTATTTTATATGATACAAAGTAGATTTCAGAGTCACTCATAGGCTGAATTACCTTGTGCTATCATCTAAGTTTTATCTTTGTCCTGTACCCTGCAGTTACAGGAAATAAAAGTGCTTGTGCAGAATTAAGGTATGAGATTAAAGAAAAGAAATAAAGGGCTTCATAAAAGTTTTACAGAGTGTTGCAATATTTATTCCATTTATATAAATGTGCCATTCAAATTTCTCTCTGGCAAATTGCATAGGACAAGCAATACCTGTTTCACAAGATTTGCTTTCACCATCTTGGCTATTTCTAACCCAGACACTACTGCACTGTACAAAAGATGTTTGGTCATTTATAAAATGTCAACTTTAGTGTTATAATGACAGAATATCTGCTCCTGAGCTGCACTTACGTAACTGCATTTTGTAATGTACTGTTGATAGCACACAGACTCATTCACCATGTTCAATTCTAGCACAAGAAATATATTAATAATCTTAAAAAAAGTTTTTAAAAATTACAAAACCCAAATTACTAGAGACAGGCTGTTGAACAAGCCAGGAAGGAAACTGAGCTTAAAGAACTATCCTGAATGTGCACAATCTTCATGCAAGTGTCTGTATGTATATGAAAGAAGGTCCATCTGTAAGAGCCTAATTCCCAGTCATGCCCAATTCTCTTTGAGCTGTTGGAATGACTTAAAGGCTTTTATAGGTAAAAAAACACTGAGTATTTGATTGTAAGTCCACTGAAGTTGAAGGAAGGATTTACCACAGCATTTTAGTTTTGGATGCAGTCTTAAAGTGTGAGGTAAAAATGAGAATATGTTCATGGAGAACACGTGAATAAAATTTTTCACAAATGTACGTGTGTGATTGTGGGGTCATTTCTGCCTCTAAGTCTGGTTGTAGAAGCAAAGTGAAATTCAGATGATGCTGGACTACCTACTGTCCATTCCACCTTACAAGCAAAAGTTGCCTCTGAAACACAACACTCAGTCTGAAAACAAAGTTGTTTTTTATTGATATCTGGGGCAGAAAACTGCAGAAATAGTTTTCATTTACAGGTGAGCTGAAAATCATTTTTGTGTGAATGGCAGCATTCATTGGTTGGCTGTAACAGAAGTCTGGGGACATGGGCAGATTAGACTATGTGAATGTCTTGTGGTGCTGCACATCTGCTAAACCCTGAAACTACATCCAAACATGCAGCTGAGCACCTGGCTGTGATACACCAGGGTGTGCAAAATAGTATGTGGTTCCTTGGGTGGTCTCTGCTCGCATCAGCTCCTTTTTGACCTTGCATATTTGAGTAGATGCTGACAGCTGTAGGAGAGTTTTGTGGCTTCACTGCTGCTTTTTAGGTGAATGTGACAGTGTTGTGGCATCTGAAGGCTCTGTTATCTGTGTTTTCTGTGTGTGACTGCCCTCTGCTCAGGAAGTCCCAGGAACACAATCTTGTCCTAATTTTTGCAAATGCAGCTCTCAGTGATGACTGTTTTGTAGGGGGCATGTGGAAGGCATCAGGTCTTGTAGGTCACCAAATGTTCTGCCAGGACACAGCAACAAAATAAACTGAGGAATCATGCTATGTGCATTAGATGCCAAAGTGGCTAACTTAACATGTGATGGCACTTGCCATTGCTTATTGCTCCTGTTGCTCGTGCTAGAAACAATTTACTATGAATTCATTCTCAAAACCTCCCTGTCAAACAACAAGCTTTGTTGCTTTATTTTTTTTCTTTTAACCTTTTCCCTTTTTCTTTTCACTCTTTAATTGGGTGCCAATTGACATTGTTTATTTGGCATACAAAACATGTTTTTAACAGTAAAGTTATCTCAGACTGTAATTATGCCTGATTCTATCCTATACAGATCAAAGTTCCTGTGAGTAAAGCTCTCCAAGACCCTCATATAAGCTGGAATTCACAGATAATATGTGCTAATTGTTGTACACTTTCTTACAGAGAAAGCATATGTTTAAATGAACATTAACTACATTTATTAAAAATTCCTGTAAAGATTCCATCTTGCATCCTCAAAATAGGTACTGAAATAGGAAGATGACCTTGATCTGAAAACATATCGATGTTTCTTGTTCAGAAAAGGATTTATGATGAATTAAATGGAAAGTTCCATGCAGAAGTGTGTGTAAGCTGTCCCTTTGCAGTAGTTGGTTCAACAGTGTGATTGTAACAGATAAGCAGAGCTGCAGCAGAGGATGTGCTCAGACAAATGGCAAACCAATTGCTTTTGATGCTGGAGGTGGCAAGGGGTGACAAGTATAACTTTATACTTGGGAAAAGTCTTGTTAGCTTAGCACAGGAAAAAAAATCTGCTGACACAATTGCTTTTATAGAATAAGATATATAGCTGCATTGAAGATGCTGATCATATTCTATAACTGGTTAACAGCATCAGCAGAATTGGGTGTATGTTCACTTAATAGACTGGGATACTACAGGAGAAAGAAACAATGATAGGCTGTGAGACGGTGTCTTTTGCTTTTGAGAGCAAAGTTCTTCATTTGCCGTTCAGGACTCTGATTTCTCATATTTTGCTGTCATTGCTTTAGGGAATATGATCTGATATTGTGCTTTTTGATAAAATGGCATTTTTACTGGATCTGTTTTCTTTCTCTTTTTCTTCTTCTTTTTTTTTCCCCACCTTCTTCCATTCTCTCCTTTGTCTTCCTATGAGATGGAAAAGAACTCATTGCGGAGAACTGCTTAACATCTCATTGTCATTGACAAGTAGTGTTTGTAATCAAATGCATAAGGTAAATACCCAAACAATTGCTTACCAAGAAGCATAGATCTGTGATAGGGATAAAGCTGCATAGCAGAGCAGTCACCTCTGAAGTGCGTGTTCCATGTTCATCCCTTGGGTTGCATGTCTGAGAGGGATTTGGAGAGGGAGGTAGAGATTGCTTTGGGGTCACTCAAGCCAGTAAGCCATGACCGGCCAGAGGAGACATCTGTTCAGACCAGGAGCAGTCCTTTTCCCTTCTGCCAGAAGTTAAATCAGCGGTGGAAGTGCAAGACCAAAAATTCTTATCTCGCATGGCAACTGTTCCTAAAGTTATTCCTGTTGTAGAATATCTTTGCTACGTAAGTGTTCACATTTTCCAAAATCACTAAGAGGACTGTCTCTTTTAGTATGAATGACCTCTCTGCTGGGAGCAGACTGCTGCACAAGTAAACTCTATGCTCTCATATTGCTCCCAGCCTGTCAACAGCCTTGTTGATGAGGACAGTGTAGAAAAGACCCAGACTGAGTAAAATCTGTCTTCAGGGAGCTTAAGTAAGCCAGCAGGCAGTGCAGAATGAAATCACATGTTGTGTTTTAGTTTGTTATTACTACAGTCTTTCTGAAAATTGAAACATTTCTGATCCTCATTTTCTTGCTGCAAGTGGATTATGGACATACATGGACTAAATAAACACTAAGTAAACACTAAGCAGGTTTTCTGGAGTGGCTGGTTTTAACAAGAAGTCAAAGATTTGTTGTCATGTAGACTGCCACTAACGACTTTTCCCTGCAGGATTAGCATTTATCTGACATCTTTAGCATTTATCTGACATCTTCCCATTCAGGGCTATTTATTGGTCAGGGTGCTCACAACAGATAATTAGTGGAGGAGAACTTTTCAGAAGCAGGTTTTCCTTTGTGTTATACCCTGTAAATGTCAGTAGTAGAGCTCTTCAAGAAATCATATTATTCTGTGCCTTAGTGGAGAGTTAAGAACACGGACTGAACTGTGTGAATTGAGACTGGTCGAAGTCTTGGATCTTAAGAAGAAGAAATAAGGGCTGTTCTTAGGGCAACATTGAATCAGTGCACCCTTACTCTTACAGTATCTTTGTTTTTGAGAGATGGGAGGAAAATCAACTTTTAACTGCAAAATGCTCTGGAAATCAAAGACTGTAAATTCTTTATAAGCTATTTCCTAACTCCTGCCTGTGTTAAGATGGAACCATTTTTATAGTACACTTGTGATTTACTTTAAACAAATTGAAGCATTTAATGTACTTAGGGGAAATTCATAAAAAACTAAACTAAAAATTTAATTACCGTTATAGAAACTGGCATTCAAGGTGTCAATAGAGAGAAATCAGAAATTCTGAAGGAGCAGTTTCTGAACACCTAATTCAGAAGTTAAAAACAATAAAAGCAGATGGTATGAATATTCATGATACTTCCTAAACTAGAAACTGTTCCACAAATTATGCTAAACAGCATGTTACAATTCTACCATCACAGATAAGAAATTGGTCTTAGTTTATTCTGGAGTGAACTTTCTACAGGATTTAGTTTCTTTGTAGTTTTATTCTCGTAAAAAATAATCAGTTGCCTTCTGATTTGGAATGAAGTCAGTTTTGGAGTCACAGAATTTTGCATCAAATTTAAATGTTGAGCTCCCTGCAATGTTTGTAAGTGTGCCATCAAACTTCTGTACAAACTGTCATACTGACAGGCAGAAGTTTTTGATGGTAGTTTCCATGGTAACAAATCATTAACAGGTGTTTTATTTTTTGAGCTTATAATAGTTTTTAATTGCAAACCTCTTTAAATTTTGGTCCAGTTAAAAAAAAAAAAGGGGAAAAAAAAGTGTGACCCCACCCCCCGGTCCTATTATTTCTGTTTTGTAAGAGGAGAAGATAAAACTACTGTTAATGCCTAAAAGGACAGAAGAACTCTCAAGGGAGATTAGGTGACTTAAATCACTGACTTTAATCACAATACAGTTGCTGAATGGAATCCTTGATTGTATGGACCTTTCAGTTATTTTTCAGAAGGAAGTGGAAAACTCATAGTTTTGGGTTATCATTAAAACATGTGGTTTGCAAAAAAAAGGTAGTCTATGCTCTTTCTTCTTGGATACTAGGAAGGTATTATTTGTCTTTGTGCATGTATCCCAGCAGTTATGTGGCTTAGTAAACCTCTGGTCAGATTTTTCATTGTCTGGCATTATTAATTTTTAATATTTTTCTTAACAACAGGAAATACCAATTGACAAAGTTATCATTTACAAGTAGGTATTTTATGTGTCAAACTGCCGTTGGATAGAAATTGGAATGGAATTTATGTATGTCAGATGTTTGTATACAACCTATTAATTAAAAGTATTTAAAGGTACCTAAAATGTTCTGGTTATATATACACATATATATCTTAGAAATTTATTAAAAAATACATTTTGCTTAAAAGACCACTTTATAAAGTGAAGAGAGTACTGCCGGCTACTGCTGCCAAAGAAAATATTAATTGCAATTGAGGAATTGAAGGTTTGTTTCCTACCACAGTGATTGGGTTTTTAGAGGCTGAGAGAAGGGGAAAATATGTTTCTAATGTGATTTTCAAAGGTGTATAATCAGTTTAGATGCCCACTTCCCATGAAATCCTTTCAAAAGCTTTTGAATTGATATTTGACTATTCCTGCCAGCCTACTCAATTTGCATGCAGAAACATGGTTGATAAATGCCCATCACAAGCAAGCAGCCAACCTTCAGAGGCTAAGATAATGCTTATTTGAGTGCAGAGATGGGTGCAGTCATGGCTGACATGCAGGACCAGATCAACAGACACTTGTGAAGCTACGAAAGTGGAGTGAGTACTGAAGTGTTTAAACTAATGAATAACATTCTGAATGTAGTTGACATGAACAGCAAACGTGGCAAGGAATGCTCTCAAAATCTGAATATGATGGAAGGCACCTCTTATGTTCCAAAAAGTTAAATGAGACAGAAGTCTTGCATGCGGAAGGCAAACACAGAGGAGTTCTGGTTTTATCCTAGTGTTCCCTTTCCCCAGAGAGAGGGAGAGGACTGGAAATGGATGAGCTGTGGTTGCCCAAATAACTCATATGTCCTGTGGATAAATGCTTATGACAATACCTGGCTCCAAGGCGTCTTTGAAAGATTCTGAAAAAAATACAGTCCCTCTCCTGATGCTGCCCCTCCTTGTCATTTTCTTTCTTCCAGAGTCAGATATTGCAGACTTCGATGGCAGAAGTTCACTTCTCTACAGGTTCAATCAGAAGCTTATGAGCACATTCAAAGATGTGGTTTCCTTGAAGTTCAAGAGCATGCAGGGGGATGGAGTCTTATTCCATGGAGAAGGACAGCGTGGAGACTACATTACCTTGGAACTTCAGAAAGGGAAGCTCTCCTTGCACATCAACCTGGGTAAGGGTAATTAGGGTTATTGGTTTGCATGTTACTGAACAAGGACTGTCTTGGTTTGTTTTTATAAATCTATTGTTTCTGTTAGACAGTATCTGTAAGCTCTAGCTGACATCAACATAACATGCTACATGCCTTAGACAGCTCATGGCTAAAATAGCGCTTGGAAAAGTTGAGAGAGGAAGCAAAAGAGAATAGATTTGACTGATGTCATGCAGGACATGGTAGCTGAACCAAGAAGGTACCTTGGCTCTTCTGACTAGTGCTGACCAAGGCTGAACTGCTCAGTGACTACTTTTGACCTTTGCTGATGCTTTCAGGCAGCGATTTAAAACAAAAAACAACAAAAAAACCCATGAAAAGTTCTGATTCTTTCCCTACCTCCTTTTTTCGGTTGTTGTTGTTTTGTTGGTTTTTTTTTTTTTTGGGGGGGGGGGTGTATTATTTTTATGAATAGCATTCCCAGGAAGTTTGATTTGGAGCACAAAAGGTTTATTTTTGGTTTGTGTCTAATTTTTTTCCATTCACTCATTGATTCAGAACTGAGCTGAGAATACAGAATTTTAATGAAAACATTCTGGTTGAAAGATTGTGCACACTGTTACAACTTTCCTTCCTGAAAACTATGAATAGCTGTAAGGCCATCACCGTATGATCATGTTGGATAAGAGTGACAGATGAAAGGCTGGCTTAATTTCTCCCTGTAAAAGGATGCTTGATTTTTTTCCTGATTAATACACTAAAGCACTTCGATAGTGGCAGGAGCTACTGCAGTAGGAATTATCATACTCCCTCTCCCAGCCTTCTTGCAGAATCTTCACAAGCTTCATCTGTGGGTGACCCGTGGCACTGGCCTCAGCAGTCTCTAATGACTCATATTTCTCATAGTGAGGGGTTTGAGTTAGGCACTTTTCCCCTTGTGCTTAATTATGTTTGTTTTAAAAGTCAGTAACGATTTTCCACAGCTGTTGGACTTTATTTTAACATAAGCTCATTAATTGTTTAGTCTCCAATTTGTGTTTTCTTTCTTTTTTTTTTTTTCATCAAAGAGTAGAAATGATAATGCAGCATTTTTTTGATTTGGGATTTGAATGTTATGTGGACCAAGTAGCTGCAACCTGAACCTCTGAATGTGGGAATCTTTGAGTCTATTGATTTGTTCTCCTCTTACAAATGTTTCATATTAGGATAAGAATATAGTACTCTTAATTATATTATGTAACTTCTTCCAAGGAGAAACTGTTATGAATACGTATTCAGAGATGAGTTGTTTTTTTTTTTTCTTCACCCGTAGCCCCAAATATACAGTTTTAGCCATTTTAAGTTCTCTGTGTGCATTCATATGTCATGAGCAAGGGTTTTGATATCTGCCCTTGAATCTTCTTGCAGCTTGCCTGGCAGTGTTGGAGCATGTATTCTCTCCATTCTGCCGGAATATCAAAAAGGATACATACTCCCTTTCAATGAGAGGCTCTGAAGTGTTCAGATGTGTAGCCAGCTGGAAAACACAAGAGTGCTTGAAATTATTGAGTTAAAGCTTAAATATTTTTATGATTCTTGATCTATACTTTTGGAGATCTGGGCCAGGTTTAAGAACGTTTTTGAACTGAACAAAACACTTTGCACTCTTTCTGCCTCACTGACTTGTGCCTTTCTTTTTTTCTGTGAAAATGGACAGGTGCAATTTTCTTGTTAAAATACAGAAAGCACATAGTTGACAGTCAAGTGGCAGGAGTGGTCTGTTAATGTGACTAGGCAGGAGATTTTGGTGCTGTGTGAAGGAAGCTCTTAAACCACAGGGGCCTCAAATACATGGCAGAACCAAGAGTACAAGGCAGAGCAGTTATCCCACATGCGGCAATGTGTGGGTGCAGCATCCCTACCACCTCCTGGTTCACCACAGGGATTTCAAGGCAAAAAAAATGTGTGCCTGTGGGCATACACACATATATGTGAATAAGAGGCCCAAAGAATCTAAGGCAATCTTTGGAAAGGGCTGTTTCCAATGGGCAGAGCTCCAGTTTGCATCTGGGAGCTCTGCTGTTTTCTCCTCTTGAGTTCCCAGGCTTCAGTTAAAGGGCCTGGAGGTAACTCTGGTCTCTTCTGCCTGTCTATGCCACTCCAGGGGACTCCAACCTGCACTTCAGTAACAGCCACACATCTGTCACCCTGGGCAGCCTCCTGGATGACCAGCACTGGCACTCGGTTCTCATAGAACGCTTCAACAAACAAGTGAACTTCACAGTGGACAAGCACACCCAACATTTCCGAACGAAGGGGGATTCAGATCACTTGGATATTGATTATGAGGTGTGTGAAGCCCTTTAGGTTATAACCTGGGAAATGAGGTATGAATTTTGGTATAAAATGAATATGATGGAAAGCAACCACTCTATGAGCTGTTTCTTTCCAGCAAAGATCTTTATTTAATAGTTTCTTTCCAGAGAGAGTTCTTTCATACTTCAAAAGCATAAACTATGTCAGTGCAACTCTACATATGTCAGTCTCAGAAAATGACCAGTTTCTGTACAAATATGCATTGGATTATGCTTACACTTAGAAGTACAGAAGACTTTGAACTAAATGAAAAGTTATAGCCCAGGTTCTAGTCAAATCTTCAGGGAGCAACTGCCCTTTTCTGTAGGGAGAGGTGCTGTGTCATCGTCTCCAACACAATTTTGTTTGCACATTATGCGCCATTCCTGCATTTGATTGACATGACCATGGGGATACCAGCCCTGAGTTGTCCCTCTATCCAACCACAGCTTGGCTTGGATTACAGTGCTCCAAATAGAGATGAGCAGGTAAAAACCATTGTTTTCCCACTAGGAATGGAAGACCCTCAGAATGAAAGGGTGTTGTAGCTAGGTGGGAATCATTCTCTTCTCCCAGGTAACAAGCGACAGAATGAGAGGAAATTGCCTCAGTTGTGCCAGGGTCTGTTTAAATTTAATAGTAGGAAAAACTTACTTTCTGAAAGGGGATCAGACATTGGAATAGGCTGCCCAGGGAAGTGGTGGAATCATCCCCCCTGAAGTGTTCCAAAGGTATGTAGATGTGGCACTTGGGATATGGTTTAGTCATGAACACAGTGGTGCTGGATTGGACTTGATCTCAGAGGCTTTTTCCAGCCTTAGTGATTCTATGATTCTGTGACTTTCACAACAACTAGCTCTGGCCCAGGTCCCTTCACATCTGGGGATTTGCTGCAGAGCATCCTGATCTAGGGAGCCAGAGCAACTCAGCCAAGGAAGGACTGAGCAGAGGAAATATCCTGCCTGCCCACAAACCCCAAGGCTGCTGTGCTCCCCTTTGATGAGACCAAGGTGTGGCAGAGTGCAGTTTATATCACTCCAACAGTTCAGTGCTCATGCCTGACAGTTGTTAAAAAAAAACCCTTAAAAAAATTATATATCATCATATCTATATGCAAGGCAGTTCCTCATCCATTCCCCCCAACAATGTACACTTGTGTGCAAATTAAGCATGTTCATTTTTGTCCCCCTGTGCTTGTCTGCCAAGTCTCCATCACCCACAAGGCACAGGGTTGTGCTGACACAGTCAGAGCCATCACCCTGTCCAGATGTGTCGAGCTGGCACGGTTCATTGCTTAAGAGACCACAAGTTTCCCCTCTGCACTTCGAATTCTTTTCTCTGGGAAGAATCATTTCCCAGCACACCAAAGGGAAAAAAGCAGATGTCTTGGCAGCGGCAGGTGCCTGCTCTCTCCTTTCAACTTCCAGCTGAAATTCCCTTCTTTGCATTTCACAAAGCAGGATGGAGAGAATGGTACCTGTCCCATGGCACTGCTGTTCCAAATCATGAGCACATTTAATAGGGACAGCACATTTGAGCATTGGGATTCTGCAACAGCTTCAGACTGAACCATCAGGGGCCAAAGCTGTAACTGCTTTTAAGATGGGGTTGAGGAAAGCCAAATGATTGATTCATCAGCTTTCCTAATTTCAAACTAATAAAATTCCTTGCTTCCTGCTTGATTTTGATTAGGGGAAACTCAAGTTCCAATTTAATTTGTAGAATAATTTTTCCACATGTTCCAAAATAAGGAGCTTGATAGAAAAGTTCTTCAGCTGGTGTTAATCAGCATCACCACTGACCTCTGCAGCACTCAGACCTGGTCTCTGGTGCTTAGTTTTTCACAGTGTGTTTTTTCTCCATTTGCACTGGACAATCTTTCAGTCAAACATTACAGCAATACAGGCTACTGAAAGTTTATTTCAGCACACTTTAGGGATTAAAGGTCTTACTGAGGGTAGTAAAACCATTACTTTTGTAATTAAAATTATTACAAATCACAAAGGAAACTGTTTTCTTAATAATGCAGTGGTGTAATTGATATTGATTTTATTTCTGGTTTTGAAACTCCAGTACAGAGTCCCTAAGCAGGAAACTTTAAGAATAGAACATGAAAGAAGGAAAGTCTGCTGTTTTAGGAGGAACTAATGATTCTCACTGGAAAAAAAAATTGCTACCACAGAAGCCCTCATGCCAATAACAAACCTGCAAGTAGCAGTCTGTTCACTCTATTTCTCTGAAGTAATCAATTAATACAACTGAGGTGCAAGTTCATTAAGGACTTTTTTTCAAATAAGTGCTTTCAAGGCTACCAAGGGAAGTTTCATTTGCTTATGTATCCCAGCTTGTTATGTAGAGTGGAATGGAAAATAACACACAAATTTCCCTTTATTTCTGTAATAATGAACTGAAGTAAGGCATTAGGAGTTGTGACAGAGGAATAAGGTTGACCAGGTTCCAGCAGCTGTCAGCATGTAGAGCAGTGCCACACAGTGCCTGCCCTTGCTGCAGTGGATGCAGCAGGACTGCAGCACATCTTCTGTAAGTGCAGTGGCTGTAGGATCCTCACCTGCATTATCACACTCACAGTGCTGCTGGCTGTGATGGGAATAATGAATAAAACCCTAGTAGTACCACCAGTAAGGTTTTGCCAGAAAGGTCGGTAGAATTAATTAGAAATGAGCACTGACATTCGGAAAATGAAGGTAGGATTATCAGAATGTTTTTGGGTTCTGGGGTTTGGGAGCTGTTTTTATTTTTTTTCTTTTCTTTCTTTTCTTTGAATTCTAGGCAGTTATGCTGGATTTTGGAAGCTTTATTTTCTTAGGCTCTTTGTCCTCCCAGGGCTTTCAGCCCTCCAGTTGGGTGATGAGTCGTAGCCTGCACAGTACTAACATCTGCCAATACTTAGACAACAGCTCAGCAGAAGTTTTGTGCAAATGTGTAACCTGCAGAGCTTCTTCATGACGCTGCTCAGTCCCAAATGCCACATGTGACTATTGTAAAGGCCAAAGAACAATGAAATTTAGGGAAAATGAATGCAAGCTACAAATGGGATATTTTGTGTTTGTGATACTACCCTCCACTGGCTGAATTAAAAATTGTTCAGATGCATGACTGGTAGAAAGGGGTGAGCCCAGTTCTCAGGCAAATCCAGTGCTCTGTGGGCAGAGAGAATTTATTCCTCCATTGCTCAGGAGTTCCCTGGGCTGCAGCTGGTGTCATCCTTCAGGATGGTGGGGCTGTGATTTGGACACTGTGTGAACATTTCCTTGGGCATTGTGTGTTCCTGAGTGGGTAGCTGGTGACACCAGGTTGGTGTGTCAAGGCACTTCAGAGCTGTTTCAAGCTGGTGAGCTGTCTGCTGCAGAGGTGTTTCTCCAGTAGCTGTAATGCTATGGGGGCTGTGATTCCCTCTGTGGGGTGGCCAGGTCCTGCTTCATGCTCCCAAGTGCCTCTGTTGATGTGAATTTGTTCTTAGATAATATTCCAGCTGGATGCATGAAGTGGGGCTCTGCTGTCTTGGTTTTGGGATGATAATATAATATATATAAAAATATAAATATATATATATTATAATATTATAAATAATACTGTTCTTATTCTTTCCAAAAGCTCAGTTTTGGAGGTATTCCTGTACCGGGGAAACCAGGAACCTTTCAGAGGAAAAATTTCCACGGGTGCATTGAGAACCTTTATTACAATGGAGTCAATATAATTGACCTGGCAAAAAGGCGCAAACCTCAGATCTATACTGTGGTAAGAGGCAATACTGCATGCTTTCCTTCTTTGCTTCCATGCTGTTGGTGCTCTCTTGGTGCTACTGGCTGCACTGAATGATCAGAGTTCAGATTTAGATAGCTATGGGCATAATTAGCTTGTTAAAATGAGGATAACACCAGCCAGTGCCGACTCCTGTGGTGAGAGTTATTGAAAGACACATGTGGAAATTAATGCATTTCTCTGACTTTCCAGGTGTATTAGAAATTGCTTGGAGAAACTTTTTAATTAATTTTCCAAGATTAAAATGTATATTTTTGATGGCATGATAGAAATCATAGAGGTTTTTTTTTTGTTAACTCAGATCATTCTCTATCACTGTTGAATAGTACAGTAGTAGCAAAATTTTACTCTGATATTTAAGTTCACATTATAGAGAAGATATAAATTTTTTTTTTATTATTGTAAATAGTTTCCTTTGTGCTGTTTCTTACAGTCAATATTGACAGTTCTGAGAAGCATTGATCTGGTACTAGTGTCTCTAAATGTGGGGGCTAAAACTAGAGGAACTATTGTCTTATGCACCTTGCTAACAAAAAAACCACAAATGCAACTTCACGCCTAATAATATCCAAAATTACAAATATATTTAAATGTATTATGAGCAAGATAAGGAGTATTTTATTTTACAAGAAGAGGGAACAGTACACTTCCATGCAGCCTTGACAAACTGTAAATAATTCAGCTCTCTGTTTAGCTTGTGCCTCACTCCATGCTTTGATATGTACCTTTTGGCTAATACTGTGTCTTTGGAGAATGTGGAGATGAAACTTCTTCTGGCTCTCATGGCATCTTCTAGTTTGTAGTAGCGTATATGAACACGCTGAACCTAAAACAAAGCAAGCCAGAGGACCAAAGAAATTCTTTCTGCACCTTCCCTGCCTAGGGCAAGGCTGAATACATAGAGAAATAGAAAATGGAAAGGTGATGGGTGAGAAGTCCCGCATTGTGTTGCTGGCAGTCAAGACTGCCTCCAGGATGCTCCCCTGGGACTGAGAGACTTTGCTTTAATAATCTAGAGTTTGATGTTATGAGTGAGGACTCAAAAGGTTCAAGTCTTATGAACTGTGTTAAATTTCTCTTCCCCTCAGCTTACTTGCTAAGGGGGAAGCAAAGAGCCCTGGTCTGCTTCTTAGGTCATTAAACAGCTGGTTGTTTTACTGCTGGATAATGGGAAGGCCTTTCTAAAGGGAAAGAGAAAAAATTTCAATGCACTTTTTCTCTGAATAGCATTGTCTGGGTATAAGTGGCCCCAAGCAACGAAACTCTGTTATTGCAATACTTGGCTCAGTCTCAGAATCCGGCTCCTTTCCTCAATGTCAGGGAGTGGGGATGTGCCTCCATTTTTCAATCTCTTTCCCATAATGCCATAGTTTTCAAAGCCTGGCTGCTGTACTGCATTTCTCAAGGTCTGTGAGGCTCTGTGCTCAGTTTCTGTGACACTTGTGTATGCAAAATGCATGGAAAGGTTGCCACACTTAACAGTACATCACAATCTTAGATGAACACCCTTCTATGAGAAATGGTTCATGTAAATCTGTTCTTCAACCTTCTTTGCATCACAGCTATTTCTCTCCTCTGGCAATGCTTATGTTCTCCTAGGTTACACAGGATCTTCCTTTGCCACCTTTCTGCTCTTCGCCACTCCTTAGCAATTAACTTACTCAAATTAAAATAACTTGTTCTAGCTAAATGTAGTCTTTTGCCTGCCAGAGTTACTCTGCACTAAATACTTTTACTCCAAGCACGTTGAGGTTGTCATGCAACCAGCCATATCCCCAGGGAGCTGCAAGCTTCTCTGCTTCATGTCTTTGTAGTTGCTAAGGTTGTCTGGAGTGAAAATGCGATGAAAGAAAAGGCACAGAAAAATAATTAAATGTAGCAGGGACTTGAAATCACTTCTTCCAAAAATGTGTTGTATACTTGTGTTCTCTCCCCAGCTTTGGAGACCATCAGGGATAGTTCTGCATTGTTAGTCCCCAAAATACCTTTGTCTCCCAGGAAAAGATAATTGAGGACAAACTGGTTAGTGTGGGATTAGAAAGCCATTAATGCTCAGAAATGCCAGCTTTGTCCTCCAAAGGCAGGCAGACTTCAACACTCAGTCTCTGCTTCACTCTATGCCTTTGTGAATGTTAACACAGTCAGTGAGCCAAACTTGTGGGTCTTCGTATCCAACAGCTTTGTTTTTTTTTTTTTTTTTTTTTTTTTTACTGTTGACATCTTTCACACAAGCAGCTGAATGATACATCAGCTTTGGAGGTATAGATTTCCTCTTATGATATAGTTCCTCATCCATATAAATAATGGTCTCAAATCAGCTGCATTTAGAGTTGGAGGAAGAAACTACAGGTTGTCAATAACAGATTACTGCAGTATGTATTGTACTCTTGGGTGGTGGCTGTGATTATCATTCTGCCTGTTCTTTTCTGTAACTCATTTGCACTTGTCAGAGTTGCAATAAAACCCCTTGAGAAGGCATCTCAAGATAACGAGGCAGTGTGTCTCTTTGAACTGAAACTTGCCTTCAGAATTCCATTTTTATATTGCCTGATACTTAACCTCTCTGCATGGCCCTATCTGTTTGGACAGGATATCTGTCTACTCTCTGGGGTTTCTTCTGTCCCTGATGGCATGTTGTGGGCTTTTTTTTTCTTGGGTGGGGGGGATAGCATCAGGGAAAGTGTTTTGGGTTCTTTGTTTGGGTTTTCTTTGTTTTGTGTGTGTTTCAGTTTGTTTGTTTGTTTGTGGGTTTGATTTGGTTTGGTTTTTCCTTCCCCTAGGTCATTGAGCATAGAGGAGTAATAGGGGATCTTTTATGTGCTTTCCAAAGTGATTACTGGTTTTAATGTCAAGTGGTCAAATTTCTGTAATTGCCATTGTCAGGGTTTACAGCAGTTACTTGTGCTTCTTGGGCAATTAATTAGGGGCAGGAAAATATGCACATAAGAGCCACATTTACAAGAAGCAGAAGAGAATTGTTCTTCCCAGAAGGAATCTTGGCCTGCTGATATCTGGGATGGAGAAGTTCTCATTGAAGGGTTTTTTGCTTAAGAGTGTATGTAGATGTAGGAGGAGATGCAACAAGTTCTAGGAAGAGAAACCTATTGAGAATTGCTAAATACATCTGGTTAATGGAGTAGATAAGAGAAAAGATACCTATAACATCCTGAAAATAGCTATAAGATCCTGGCCACCAGTGCTTACCTACTGCTAGATTCAGGCTGCATCTTTAGAAATTGTTCAAATGTGACCTGTGACCAGCCTTTTAAGTCTTTTTGTGCTTCACTGATTTGTTATGTCAAAATAAGAAGTTGTCTAGCCGATGAAAATAAATTAAGAGGTCATGAAAAGATGCTGTATTTTATCTTGTGTTTCACTCTACTTACTGAAATTGAGAAAAACACAATCTCCCTTTCTCTTCCATTACCTCTGGCTAATAGAAATTGAAGCTGTATTTTTATTTAGCAGAGCAAACCCTGTGCTGACTTGAGAAGAGTGCAGGATATTTGTAAGGCAGAAGTTGTCAGCCCTCAGATATGCTTGAATTTCTACTCTGGCCTGCCATGTTGAATCTGGGAGTGACAGTTCAGCACAACAAGGAATGTGGTGACATGTAAATGTATCACTGTAGTGCCTTGGGGAAATAACCAATTGCCAGCATCAAAGAGCAAGGAAAGATACTTAGTGACAGAAGAATGTAAACTAATAATTCATTCCCTTTATAGAGAATCCAAACATGCTATTTTATTAAGCTGATTTGAGATACCTTCATCCTGAGAAGTATTTACTTGTCTATGCCTGTCTCGTTCTACCAAAGTGCTATTGCAAGTGTTGATCTATCTTTGAATATCAGGCTGGTGATTTGTGAAGGCCTCTACTAGGATTTGAAGAATCAGGAGTTAGATTTTTTTTCTTAGTTTTTGCACTGCAGTCAGACTACAGGAATCATAAATAAAAAATGTTGGAAATGCTTAGTGACAACTTCCTAAGGACTAAATCAAACTTCTAAAAAAAAAAAAAGTTTTATTTAGTTATTTAATGAAAGTTTTGAGTCACACAATTAGAAAGAGAACTGAATTTACTGGGTTTTAGGTAAGGTAGGTGAACTCAGATTCCAGAAATATTTGGTTCCTGTAAAAATAGCTTTTTATATTTTCTTCTGTGTCTCCTTCTGCTCTCTGGGTCTTCAGATGAGTCTCTTTCACATTCTACCTTTAGTGTGGAGTAGAAAGGAAGTATATATATAGAGCATTCATTTTAAGGTCCCATTTTATTGTTGCTGAATGATATAACAGGATTATTTTGAAAGAAATTAGGTATGTCACCTCAATTAAGGTCTTGAAATAAAGTCTGTTTAAATGACATTTTTCCTATTGATTTCAGTTGGCTTTGTCTACAATTCTAAGTTTCAGAGTGCAAATATATAATCCAGCACACACCTGTAATAATAAACTCTCTTTGATATAAAAGTTTTTTTTATGTTAGGATTCTGATAGTTGTGATGACAAGTGAAGCAAGACTTTTGAGGAGAGAGACCATATTTTTTAATAAGACTGCAGAGAAAAATGACATGTTTCTGAGCAAATAAGGTCTTTTTGAGAGTCATCAGCCTTCAGCAAGTTACAGGTTAGAAACAATTGTTCTAATAAATAAAACAAGGGTTTTATTTATTACTGGATAGTCAAATTGAATGAATAGGGTAGTTAGTACCTGCTGAGTGGAGCAGGATGTTTCAAGGTGGGACAGTGATAAGGCAGTTAGTCCCTGTAGGAGAGGAAGAGAGATGGCTAATTATTGTCAGAGGAGTTAGCAGGGAAAAAGGAAAATGGGATGGAATGCAATTTGCTTCAAAGCCAAGGCTTTAATGTATTTTGTAAGGTCTTATTTCAATTGGTAAGGCCTTGGGAACTACTTGGTACTTGGCTACCTGACATAACAGAAAGGGGGCAAGCTGACCCCATCACAATCAAGAGTCA